TGACTGGATGATCATATCACACTGCACCCCACTCCCTGTGATTGGATGACCTGTATCAGCCTGTTGTAGTGAGAACACAACGCTTTGGTACTGTGTTCTTTGGTTCTGATCTTCAAACTCAAGCCTGGAGTGCACAGCATTGGTCTAGGATGCTTGGGACACTGTTTAGGGTGGAGTAAGGATGAATAGCTTTTTCCCTCGGAGCAATAAGCTAGAAGACAGATTTTAGGGCCTAATCTGTTTGGCATTTTCTTGCTGTGTAGAGCAGTAGAGGGGTAGACGGCCTCTCACAAGCAAGAGACAGGGTCAGAGGAAGGAAGCTGAATTCATCCTTCTATAAGGAACCTGCTCTCTCCAAATAGCATAAGATTTTTATGAGGTCAGAGCTTTTGTGATCTGATCATCCTAGAAGGTCCCATTTCTCAGTATCCTTGGAGGTCCCATTTCTTAGCATCCTTGGAGATCCCACTTCTCAGCATCCTTGGAGGTCCCATTTCTCAGCATCCTTGGAGGTCCCATTTCTCAGCATCCTTGGAGGTCCCATTTTTCAGCATCCTTGGAGGTCCCATTTCTCAGCATCCTTGGAGGTTCCATTTCTTAGCATCCTTGGAAATCCCACTTCTCAGCACAGCTCCCAGGCGAAGCTCCTTGGCTGCCTCAAAGCCTTCCCGTGTGACAGCCTTGACTGTTCACATCCTGAGGCTGGCAGGTGGAGAGGGCGGGGACAAGAGGTGCTCATTCCCACAGTACAGAACTAGCAAAAGTGAAGGCACAATGCCCCCTTTCTCCTGGGTTTGCCTCAAACAAGTGATTTAGAGTGCATTTTAGGAGCTGGTTTCTCTGGATGGTAAGAATTTAGCAGAACTGTTTTTGCAGTTTCAGCTCTCAGTGTGCTGCTGTTCCTCTCCCATGCTGGGCGCTGCAGAAAGTCCAAGTTCTGTGGTTGGTGAGCTTCCTGAGGCAAGGCTCTACTCCAGAAAGGCCAGTTCCCCTGCTTCAGGGCTTCCCAGGTGCAGCTGCCTGCTAACATGGCCCCCTTAGCCCTTTGCACCCTGAAATCCCTGCCTTCATCCTTCCGTTAAGCTCTTCTTTACTTTTGAATTTCCTTCCCCTTTTCTTTGCTGCTTCTAATTCCTTTTTGTATGCTTATTTCTCGCTCCATCCCTAAAAGCATTTAAGATAGTACTCAAACAGACTCAAGGCCAGACACATCAGACTCAAGATAAAATAAGTAAAGAGATCAGGTGTGCGGATCGGGGTTACATGGTCTACGGTGTGGTCCTCTGAGTCCTGGAGTCCCCTGACTTTGCTTCTGAGTTTCTTGCCCTGACAGAATGGAGGCAGACATTAAAGCAATGATGTGATTCCCATTAAAAGCTGAGAACGTCTTGTCTGTACAGGTTTCTCTTTCCTGGTCACTGGGACTTAATCAATGGACCCTCTCAGTAAGAGGCTTAGAATTAAAACTGGTATCATGGTAGTTCTGGGGCATTTTTCTGAATAGATAAGACTAATCAATTATAGACTTGGGTTTTTTAAAATTTTGCATTGGTAGATGAGCGATGTTGGTCATGAATAGCTTTATAGAAAACATGATTGAACACTGAGACATCAGCCTGACAATTCAGAGTGTATGGAGATACATGCTTGTGCATGAGTGTGCACAGATGCATGTGATGTCTGTGTAGGTCAGGATGCTACTCTGTTCCCCTTGTGCAGTCTTGAAAAATTCCAAGTGGCAGGGAAGTGGAAGATGGGATCTCTCTTTAATTTGAAAGATGTTTGCATGTGCTTTGCATAACATTAAGAGTCAGAACAGCTGGCAAACTCCAGTGCCAAGAGTTGCTGCATTTTTTTGCTTTGCACTTCAGAATCCAGCCCCGCACAATCTCATGGTGTAACATCTGCTTTACCCACGGTGTCCAGAGGGAACACAGGTCTCTCTTACTGCCACCCACAGTTTTAGGGTAAACTGGTTGAAATCTGCTGGTGACCATTGCTAATCTCGTTGTCACTACAATGATAATGCCAGTTTTGTAATCCTTCAAGAAAACTTCAAGTGGCATGAAGAAAAAGAAGAGAAATCAAAAATATCCCTCAAAATAAACAGAGTAGCAATTTTTTTAAAGAGATAAACAACTTAGTCTTCCCACAACCTGGTCCGCAAATCTCTTCGAGGCTCATCTAATAGCCGCTGGTGTCTTCCTGTCCTTCTATTAGGCCATCCCAACTTTTTTCTACCTCCAGATGCTTCTAAAAACCACATAGAAATTTCTCAATGATGGGTTCTCAGTGAAAATCAAGCCCAAGGCAGACAAGGCAGGAATGAAGAGCCAAATGGCTGCCAGCACAATTGCCATCCCTTACCTAATCCGGTTCCCTCAGACCACGATTACGCAATTTAGCCACCCAAGCGAGCTTGCACAGCCCACACCACCAGTGTCTGTTTCTGTCTCCATAGTTTGAAAATTGCCTCTCTGTAGGCTGAAAGCGCTCCTGATTTTAGCATTTGTTTGGAGCCCACATCTGCCCACGTGTCCTGTAGGCAAAGCTGTTTGCATGGCACTTGGTTGAAAGCAAGCAAGCCAGGAGAAAGTGCTTCCCCAATCCACCGGGACAGTGTGGCTTCTTCTGTAGGTGTGTGCTAGCTTGCGCTGTTATTTGTGTTCCTGCCCCTCAGGACATTGAGGTCCTACCCAGTTCTCTCAGTTGGATTTGTTTTTTTAATAAGAATTAATGTATTGCTGATTAAAGTTTTCCTCCTAGCCTCCAATGAATGAATGCGTGCTTGAACTGAACCAGGGATATGCATTTGATATTCTGCTTGCCTTCCACAACAGATGCTTCCCATTACTGAACTTTGAAGGAGCTATTTAGAAAATAATAAAACTGACAGCTAAGCACTGGGTTGGTTTTTTTTTTTTTTTATGCATCTTGCCAGCTTTACTGTAATTATGTCATTCCAGAAAAGATTCTAACCACTTCCTTTCTCCAGCCCTATTGCATCCCAAAAGATCAAAATTGTGGCCGTATTTCTAAGGGAGTAAATAATATGCAAGTTTAAAAATAGCATTCCATGAAGTCGTTATGGGTTTTGGAATGTTTGTCCAGTAAAACCGTGAATGAAAAGGGAAGCAGCTTCGCTGACTAAGATAATACACAATTAGTGGAAATGGCACTGAAATTTAATCCATGGGAGTCAATTAAGGACCTGATTAAAAAGCAAAGGAGGATCTGATGGACGTAAATTAATTTTTGCTCTACCTTCCTTTGGAATAATACACACGTGATTATTGTTTTGCCTGCATAAGAAATTGGGGGAAGGCATTTAGAAGCACCATCTCCATAGCCCCATCCATGGCCCCAGAAAGACAAATGTCATTCTTCGGATATCAACTGTCACTCAGAGACTCCGATCATTTTAAACTCTCTACAGTTCATTGAAGAAATTTTCATCTGGGCTGTAGTTTAGAGGCAAGGCTTTCACAAAACCTGTCCAAAAAAAGAAATTTCACTTGCTTACTAGTGATGCACAGCTCTACCCCAGAGCTAGTCAATACACCTTTCCAGGACGGGAGAGGATTGCTCTATTGCTGTATTGACCAAAACTATAGTTACTAGCCATTGGTGGCTACTAAGTCTTGACATGACTATGTTAGTGGGGAGTTAAAATATGGCTTCAGTTTTCATATAAAATGTGTCATCCAGCCATGGTTGGTTAGTAGTGCTACTATGTTGGGGGAGTATAACTCTAGATCTAAAGAATCCCTCCCCCTTGAGCTTCCTTAAGGGGCAACCTAGGCAAAGAAGAAATCCTACTGTTGATTCCAATTTATTTCTAATCTGAAAAGGTTGGTTTTTCTCTGTTCTGAGACAAAAGTCATTATGGAAGGCAGGAGATCCATTGAGCATCTCCTGTTCTCTTTAACCTCCCACTACACTGGACAGAGAGGCTGGCCAAGGTCAGCCCACAGGTTCACAAGATCAGCAGATCTCAAGCCTTGGTGTAGAATGTTATTTTAAGGTGTGTTACTTTTGTTTATGTTGCATTTGCTTAACTCTATGAAGCTGTGTTACTTTGCCTGTCTAAAACGCCTGATGGTCTACTAAAGAGCTGAATGGCCAGTGGAAAGGCAGGAGAAAGGATAGGCAGGGCAGGCAGGCAGAGAAAATAAAAAAAAGGAGAAATCTGGGAAAAGGGAAGAAGAAAAATTAGCCAGAGAAGGAGGAGGACTCCATGGACTAGCCACCCAGCTACACAGCGAGAGAGAGAGAGAGAGAGAGAGAGAGAGAGAGAGAGAGAGAGAGAGAGA